GATGAATCATTACTCTTTTTCAATAAAGATTCTACAAATGACAGTTGCAAGGGTCGTCTTTAAGAATTACAAAATATTTATAATCTTGATATGATTGTAATATTATTTCAAAATATATTTACATATCTCAATACATTTTTTATATATCTTAATACATTTTTTTTTATATATTTTTCAACACTAACAACAACTTTAAGGTTGTGTTTAAATCATGAATTAAGTTATGAATTTACAATGGGAAAGTGAATAAGAAAATGAGAATAAAATATAGTAACATTTTGTATATCTTTTTTTTTTCTTTTTTCTTTTCATATTCTTATCCAAATCTATGATTCCATCACAGCTAAAGAGTCATTTTTCAATTATAAGCAATAAGCTAAAAATGCACTTAATACTCTCACATGTACTCTTAAAATAAATAAAATATATATATACACTATAACAAAAACACATTATAGTGACACCATACTAGTGACATGTTCTTAAAAAATATTACAAAAAGAATATTTAGTGGCATTTTTTAGAAAAATGTCATAGAGCCACAAACATACAAGGTTCTAGTGGCATTTCAATTAAAAAAGTGTCACTTCACTCCAACAAAAATGTCACTACAATAAATTTATACTTTAGTGACACTACACTAGTGGCATGTTTTTAGAAAATGCCACAAAAATAAAAAATGACATTAAATGTTTTACAAAAATGCCACAGAACCACAAACATATAAGGCATTAGTGACATTTCAATAAAGAAATGTCACATCAATTTTATGGCATTTTATAAAATAATGACACAAAAAATTATGTTCATGACATTTACCAACAGATGCCACTAAACTTTTGTAGCAATGGCATTTTTTAAAAAATGTCAGGACACTAGGTAGGTGCAAGTTATTTTTTATGGCACTTAAGTGAAAAATGTCATAAATAAATATTTTATAGCATTTTGAGAAATGTCACTGAGCCAAAAACTTTCTAAGCTTATAATGACATTTTTGAAAAAATAAAAAATGTCAATATATTTTCTAAATTTTTAAAACGCAATAAATGATTAAAAATAAATAAATAAAGCTCAATATACGCTACAGGAAAAAGCACATTTGGCGACTAAATTTCCTAACCAAAAAAATTTGGTCGCTGAAAGTATAGCTTTCAGCGACTAAACAATTTTAGTAACCAAAAGTGTACAATTGGCGACTAAAACTAAGTTTGGTCGCTAATTATATGTGTTTTAGTGACTAAAAAAATTTTAGTAGCCCAAAGTAAAGCTTTTTGGAGACTAAAAAAATTTAGTAGCCAAAAGTCTACAATTGGCGACTAAAAATAAGTTTGATTGCTGATTATATGGGTTTTACCGACTAAAAAAATTTTAGTAGCCAAAAGTAAAACTTTTTGGTTCCCAAAAAAATTTTAGTAGCCAAAAGTCTACAATTGGCGACTAAAAAATAAGTTTAGTCGCCAAAAGTGGTCATTTTAAGTACAAGAGAACTAAAATCCTAAGGTGGAAATTAAATTTTTTGGCAACCAAAATTTTGGTAGCTGAAAGTGCATCTTCAGCAACCAAATCCAATTTTGGTCGGCAAAAGTTAAGTTTTTTAGCAACTAAAAATTAATTAGAAGCCAAAAGTATAGAATTGGCAACTAAAAAATATTTTTAGTCGCCAAGTGTGATCTTTTTTTATTTTGCTAGTAAATAGTTTAGTTTACATAAATTATGTTCAATAAAATAATTATGTTTATACATATACTTTTATATTAATATGGATGCATGTACTATATAAATTTTGGTAGCTGAAAGTGCATCTTCGGCAACCAAATCCAATTTTGGTCGGCAAAAGTTAAGTTTTTTAGTAACTAAAAATTAATTATAAGCCAAAAGTATAGAATTGGCAACTAAAAAATATTTTTAGTCGCCAAGTGTGATCTTTTTTTATTTTGCTAGTAAATAGTTTAGTTTACATAAATTATGTTCAATAAAATAATTATGTTTATACATATACTTTTATATTAATATGGATGCATGTACTATATAAATAGTATATGTTGCATATATAATCATGTGGTGCTATAGAGGTGTAGTGGGAATAGTGTGGTGTATAAGATTTATGGTACGGGAGGTTGGAGGTTCGAGTCTTCGCAAGAGCGGATCAAATTGTTCTACAACGAATTATCGTCACGAATGACACTTGGTAGCGTCACGAATAGTACCTACCATGACATTAAAGTGTCACTGAAAGGTTTTAGTCTTTATGGTGTAATGACACTTATAAGTGTCACTAACTTTTTTTTTTATGGCGCTTGATAGTACCACAAATAATATCTACCATAACATCAAAATGTCATTGAAAATTTTTAGCAATGATGGTATAGTGGCACTTGCAAGTATCTACCGTGACACTAGTATCTGCCGTGGCACGGATACAAATGACACTTGTTCAAAATGTCACAAAACTAAAAAATGTCATTAAACCAATAGTTTTGTAGCACTTTCAAATGTCACTAAACTAAGAAAATATTATGGTGATAGATCTATTTAAATTGCACCAAACATGACAAGGGAATAATTAAAATTTATTTTAAATATAACTTGCAGTATATTTAAAATTAACTTGAATCACAAGGCTATGTTTGGTTTGTTTTTCAGAAATAGTTTTTAAATTTTTTTTTTCAAAAAATAAAAATTAATTTAATAAAAATAAATATTTTTTTTGACTTTTTAAAAATTATTTAAACCTCTCAAAAAGATAAAATTATATGAAAATGATCAATATATATATTTTTTATTTATTTACCAAATTATGTTTTAGATTTAAAAGAAAATTTTAAAAAGTTTCTGACAACTAAACCAAAATTGTATGTATTTTGCATCTCTATCTAGAGTTGAAATATCAAAGAGTTACGAAACGTGTGGCAAAAAATAGAGAAAGCTTTTAAAGAAGATACCAAACGTGTAAAGACCACAAGCTCTTGTAGTCCAAATTGTAGGTGAGTAGAGACCATTCAACTATAAAGACTTGATGTCCACTCACATCAATTCATAATTGCTACCAGGTGTTATGAATTAAAAAAATATGTATGAATCAAAAAAAAAAATAAAATTGGGATCCCCTTTCCCTCATCTCTTTTTACCCTCTTTCTTTTTTGATTGATCACTTTTTTTTTTTTTTTTTTTTCAATCACCACCCATCACGTGTGTGTGAGGTGGTGGGGGTTGAAGTTTGAGGGGGTCTAAATCACTGCTGAAAAAAAAATTGCTATTGCTACAATTTTCAGTTTTCTGGTTTATAAAAAATGTTAGAAATTTTAAATTTTTTTTATCAAAAGGTGTGAATCCTATATTTATGTGGGATCCATACCTATGTAAGATATTTAGTAAAATCTTTAATAGAAAAGTTTAGTATTTCTAGCATTACTCTTAGTTTATAAGGATAAATTATAAATATACCTCTTGAGGTTTGCTTAAAATACGAATTGTCCCTTCTAGTTTGAAAAATTACAAATACCTCCATGTTACAGAATTAATTGAAAAAGTGAAATTTCTAACTGTTTACCTATACAATAATAAAATTATTTGAATTATTAATTGAAATAAAATTTTAATAATATTAAAAACTATTAATTAACTTGATGATTTATTAATAAAAGGGCCTATTTATTATGAAATTGAAAACCTTAAAGGCATAATATTTTGTTGTTCAATTGTCAATTAATTTTTCAAATTTTTCTGCACAAGACGATCTAATAAAAAAATTAAAAATAAATCAACTATTAGGGCTGGTTTGGGGTGTCCTAAAAAAGTGTACTTTTGTCTTTTTGGACTAAAAAAGACAAAAAAAAAAATATGGAGGCTTGAGTTAACTTTTTGACTTTTTATAAAAAAATGTGTATTAAAAAATTGTATAAAAAAAGTGTGTAAGAGATGATAAGAGAGGAGTGGGCCCCAGCCATACAACCGGCTGTACAACCGGCAGACTCAATTGGAGTTGGAAATTATTGGCTAATTTTTGTACAAAGCATTGCACGGTTTTGTTTGGCCCATGGGGGTCATCACGGGTCCCATTTTAATAATCTGAACCGTACAATGTGTGTAACTCGTCGAACACTATGTACCTATAAAAAATCACGTTAATCGGATATCGATAGCTATCTGATCAGATCTATTTATTTTTACGGTTATACCCTTCTTTATATTATGTTTTCTTTTCTTTTTTTGTAGGGTAAATTATAAATACGCCATTGAGGTTTGCTTAAAATACGAATTATCTCATGTGGTTTGAAAAATTACAAATACTTCTCTGTTAGAATTTTTTATTTAACAAAATTAATTGAAAAAGTAAAATTTCTAACTGTTTACCTATACAATAATAAAATTATTTGAATTATTAATTGAAATAAAATTTTAATAATATTAAAAACTATTAATTAACTTGATAATTTATTAATAAAAGGACCTATTTATTATGAAATTGAAAACCTTAAAGGCATAATATTTTGTTTTTCAATTGTCAATTAATTTTTCAAATTTTTCTGTACAAGACGATCTAATAAAAAAATTAAAAATAAATCAACTATTAGTATTACTTTTTAGATGACTTTTCAAATTTAAAAAAATGCCCTGCTAAAAACAAAAATATAAGTCAAGTTTTGTCTTGCCTTGCTCTTTAATGGATTTTTATTAGGAAAAATATCACATCAAGTAATGACAAATCAATAAGAAATTTTAAAAATATTAATAATTATAGTTATAATTTTTTTTGTAAATTTGTATTTTTTTTATTCTTACATCACTCTGATTTAATAGCCCACTTTTATTAAAAATAAATTCAGATTTTTAAATTTCTATAAGGGTTAAATAGACTTAAAGTAGAATTTTTTTGATTCAAAGTCAAAAAAAGTGATTAAAAATAAAATTTAAAATTTAAAATTTAAAAATAAGCTCCGTGTACGGTTTGAAGTTGTACCAGTCTTCTCTCTCTCCCTCCTATAAATAAAACAACTCATAAAGAAAGAATGAAACTATAGAAGGAAGCTCCTTCCTGATCCTAGTATTCAACACCCAAATGGACCATCTCCAACTTATCATCATCCTCCTCCTAATCTCCAATTCTCTCTTACCCCTCTCTTCTTCTCTCAACCAATGTTTCCAACAAAACTGCTTGAGTTCTTCTTCTACAACATCTTCTTCATTTCTTGACCACATACAAAGCTTAGCCAATGAACCCAACACAGTGAACTGGATGAAGAACTTGAGGAGAGAGATTCACAGGAACCCAGAACTTGCTTTCGAAGAATTCGCAACGAGCGCACTGATTCGTCGCGAGCTCGACTTGCTCGGTGTCGAGTATCGCTGGCCGGTGGCGGAAACAGGGGTAGTAGCCACCATTGGGTCTGGTTCTCCTCCTTTTGTTGCTCTCAGAGCAGATATGGATGCTTTGCCTATTCAGGTAATTTACTGTTACATTTTTTTTTTATGAAAATATTTTTAAAATTTTTTGACAGTTGGTATAATGAAATATGGAAGTCAATAGAAAATAAATTTATTTAAATAGAAAATATTTTTACACTTTTGATTCAGATATTGAGTAAATAACAATGGTAGGTATCATGAAAAGTCTTTTATGAAAATGGTCATGAAAGATTTGTGACCTTTGGATTACACTTACGATAAAACACCACATATTAATCAAGCTAATCTAAGGGTCACAAATTTTTCATGATCGTTTTCATGACAAAAGTTTCATGATCTCTAATATTTCTCTTGAGTAAATGCTGGGTTAAGCAATTTTTTGTACCAAATGTTAAATACCGAATGGTATTAAATACCGAATGGTATTTCATTAACGGCATTGATGTAATTTATTGCATTTTCATGTATTACGTTCTATTTCCGCAATTAGGAAAAAAAGTCAGTTTATTAGCTTATGGGGGCAGTTACCTATATATTCTAATGGGTAAATTTATTATTTAATAGGCTTTTATGAGAATTAATGACGTTTTTTTGTCAATCACTATTAAAAAATATCACCAATTATTAATTTCAAGGTTTTTAAAAATTATCACAAAAAATGTCATTAATTATAAGTTTTAGCGATAATTTAAAAAAATAGTCACAAAAAAGTCACTAATTTTTAACTTTCAGTAACAATTTAAAAAGTTTATTATAGAAAATGGTCATTACTTATAAATTTTAGCGACAATTTATAAAAATTGTGACAAAAAAAGTTACTAATTGTCAAATTTTAGTGGCATGCAAAACATCGCCACAAAAAATTATTTTTAATAACGATTTTATGAGGATTTATTTTTAATAAGACTTGATGAGAATTAAGGCCTCATTTAGCATGCAACATTTTTAGTCTAAAAATCAAAAAGTTTTTTAAAAAAAACTCAAAGATTTCCTTTTATTTTTACTTTTTGGATATGTTTTCGTAAAAAATCAAAAAGTCATTCCAAACATATTAATTTTTTTACCCTATATTTTAGTCAAGAAACCCAAAAAATTACTAAAATAGTTTTTTTCTCAAATGAGGCCTAAGTCCAACTATTAGGACCTATTAGTAGTTTACCTTTAATTTGGTTTAATTGAATCACATTACTTCTTTACTTTTTTACACAATTTTTTCAAAACAAAAAAAATAACTAAAAATTTATTTTTTTCTTCGTACTTTTCAAAATAGGGCTATGACTTTCATTTGGATATCTTTGGGATGACTATGTTAAATTTTTTATTTTTATACAATAGGTAACATATTTGTCCTCAAAATTCATGTCTCTTATTTTTTATATTCGAGTATACGCTCTCAACCAGATCATGTAATATATATTACAATTAAGAATATGTCAAATTTACATTTAAATATATGCTCTCAACGTCTTCACATAATAGAAATTTTACAACGAATCTTGAGACAGATACAATAAAGATTAGAAGATAGAGACTTTGGGACAAAGTATACACCGTATTGCATGTTCTTTATGTTGTAGATAAATGAAATAATGCAATGCCCATTAGATTATTATGCCATGAATAGTTTGAAAAGAAATGTTTGAGGGGAAACAGACAAACCATATATATATATATATATATATATAAATTGACATATAATATATAATATAATAAATAAAGCAGTCGAAGGCATGATGAGGAACGTCAAAAACCTCTCTTAAGGTAGAATTTTGATTCTTTATGTAGCCATCAAAAGTGAAATATTATCCCTTAACCCTCCTTTACTCCTTATATTCTGATTGTTTATTATCCCAAACTTTACATTCTTATAGTAAGATTTGAAGTATAGAAGCTAATCTCTTTCATTGGTACTTTTCTTTCTGCTTTCTTCCTTCCCAAAAATAAAATAAAATAAAATATAATAAGTTAAAAGGTTGAAATCAATTGATGTGTCGAGCACTGATGAGTTGGTGTTATGGGCCTCGCACTAATCAATCAGTACTCGACACTTGAGTAGTTTCAAGCAATTTGTACACTCGAACAGTACTACTCTACTACAACATATAAGAGTTTTGGAGACTAAATTTTTTAGTCTCTAAAAGTGAAAATTTTGTTGCAAAAGACATTTAGGAACCAATTTCTATCATTATGAGGATAGTCACTAAAAAATCGTCCCCGAAACTTTTAGTGACACAATTTTAAAAATGTCACTAATAAATAGACTTTTAAGAACCAAATAATTTGGTCTCAAATAGTTTATTTTTTGAGACAAAAAATTGGTTCCTCAAGGATAATAATTCATCACTAATATTCAATTTTCATCGCTAAAAGTATAATAACAACACTTCTCGCAACAAAAAGATTTAGTCCCTAAAAAATAATTTTATCCTTAAATTTTAGTCTCTAAAACTTTAATTTTTTGAAGTGCTCCTAAGAAAATTTTTGGAGAATAGTTGAAAGTGACAAGTGATATTGGAAGGCGGTGGCTGCTAGTGTCGGCAACAACAGCAGGAGAGATGCCGTAACAGGCGTGGCGGGCCAGCAGAGTGAATGCAAGGAAGTGAAATTCTGTTATTTGTCAGAAAATTTGTTTGGTTTGATTACTTTTAAAAACTTATTTGTAGAGAAAATTTCTCAAAAATTTCTCAAAAATACAAACCAAACGAACCCTTAGTCCCTAAAAAATAATTTTATCCTTAAATTTTAGTCTCTAAAACTTTAATTTTTTGAAGTGCTCCTAAGAAAATTTTTGGAGAATAGTTGAAAGTGACAAGTGATATTGGAAGGCGGTGGCTGCTAGTGTCGGCAACAACAGCAGGAGAGATGCCGTAACAGGCGTGGCGGGCCAGCAGAGTGAATGCAAGGAAGTGAAATTCTGTTATTTGTCAATTTTAAGGAGGAAAAAAAGGCCTAAAATTGAGATACTAGAACCATAATTTTGTATCAAAGATACCCATATAACCAAATAAGGAAGGGTACAAACGATCACGCGGTTCAGTGACATTTGGTTGACACTATTAGAACCTTAATTATTGGGATCTTTAAGTTCGAATTTTTGAGTTGAATAGGGTGGTGGTTGATACAATTACCGGACTTGTTAATGTATTATCATTCTATTAGGACCCGGGATCCTCTCTTTCTAAATTTCTCTATTTTTTGTCCCAACATAATTTCAATATATATATCGAGATTTTTGTGACTTGAAATTCTCTCATGGTTAAATGATTAGAATTGCATTAAGATAAATGAACATAAAGATTTGACAACAGAAAATAATATTGTATTCAATAGCGAAAAAATTCGAAAATGGCCAAGATCTAGTGAATTCATTATATATTGTGTTTGTTTGGTCTCAAAAGTTGGTTTTCTATCCATGTATGTAGGAAATGGTGGAGTGGGAGCACAAGAGCAAAATAGATGGGAAAATGCATGCCTGTGGACATGATGCTCATGTTTCTATGCTTCTTGGTGCTGCAAAAATACTGCAACAACTCCAACACAAATTACTGGTATTTAAAATATAAAAAAGAAGACTCAATTATGAGAATTTTTTTTTTTCTTTTTTGTTTAAATCTTCTTATCCTGTCATGATCTAAATTCATGTCATATATGTCTAATTTAGGGCACTGTTGTTCTGATATTCCAACCGGGCGAGGAACGAGGTCAAGGTGCCAAAGACATGATCCAGGAAGGTGTGCTTGACAATGTTGAGGCCATTTTTGGGCTTCACGTAGTGCATAAGTACCCTGCCGGGACTGTGGCCGCACGGCCAGGGGAGTTTTTAGCCGGATGTGGTAGCTTTAAAGCGGAGATCAGAGGGAAAGGCGGTCACGCTGCAATACCACAGAATTCGATTGATCCAATTTTGGCAGCTTCATCTTCAGTGATCAGCTTGCAGAATATTGTTGCAAGGGAGACAGATCCTATGGATTCTAAGGTATTATCGGCTTTCGACCATTTCCTTTCAATTTTGATTAGCTGATTTTGAACATTCAATCAGGCTATCTTGCTGCCAGCTAGGTCCTCTGTCCCTAAATATCTTCGTTATTTTCCCAACCTACTCTCACACAAGTGTATGACAAAGGCTTTATGTATTTGAGCAGAAAATATTTATAAAAAATATATATATTTCTATGGATTTTTTTTTTTCCGTGAAAAACATTTTCTTAAATTTGGTTTTTTTAAACGTTTACTTTTGGTTTGAAAAAATAGTTGCAGGGGTTTCAAAAGTGAAACATATTTTTGGCTCAAATAAGTGTGTATTTTGCTACGAAAATGATTTTTTTATTGACTTTTGTTTTTTCTATTATACCAAGCGTTATAAAGTTCAGATAACGTTTTCCAATAATATGTTTTGTCAAAATAAACAAAACGCAAGAGTATATTGGGAGGCTAGAATAGAAGTATAGAGATTTAGGAACAGAGTATCTCGTGCCCTTTTCTTTTCACCTAACGAGAATGAGATGGTTGCAGGTGGTTTCAGTAGCAATGATACATGGGGGTTCGGCGTTTAATGTGATTCCAGACTCGGCCACCATAGCCGGAACTTTCAGAGCATTCAGCAAGACAAGCTTCTATTCTCTTAGAGATAGAATAGAAGAGGTAACTAACTAAACTACTTCATACAACAAACCACACGTAGTACAAGGACTAGCTTGACTTTTATTTTTTATTATTATTATTTTACGACATATATGCCTTTTCTTTCATAAATCTGAGTTAGAAAAATCTCTACAAAGCCAAAACAAGTGGGTGAGCGAGGTTTTATTTTTATTTTTATTAATTTAAACATCACACTTTCAATTATATTTCATTGTTGTTTCTTTGTCAATTGTCATTAACATATTCGACCCACAAAATTCACATGTGACTCGTGTGGGTAGTTAAACAATTCCTGCCTAAGAGAGAAAAATAGATAAATTATATTGATAGTCCCTATAGTTTTTTTTGAATTTCAATGTAGTCTCTCTACTTTTCATATATATGTGGGCATTTTAGTCACCTAGAAAACAATTAAATAAATTACACCAATGGATCACTTTGGTTTCTTAAATTTCGCATGTGACGTTTTCTGTCTAAAATATTGACAACAACCGACGAAAGAAGCACATTGAAATACAATTACAAGTGTGAGATTTATATTAATAAAGTTAGATTTATAGGGATCAAATGAAATTTATCTAAAATTATAGGAAATATTATTTTAATTTATATATATATATTCAATATTATGATTTAAAGGACAACTTTATCAATAGTAAAGCTTGTGACAAATTTGAGTCATGAAAACAGGTACTTAATACATATTGTTATGCGTGCCAGGTTATAAAAGCGCAAGCAGTCGTACACCGGTGCTCGGCTAAGGTCGACTTCACGGGAAGGGAACATCCCACCATTCCCCCAACAGTAAATGATGAAGGAGTATATGAACATGTAAAACAAATCTTGACCACCATTGTAGGGGAAGAAAACACAAAAATGGCTCCAAGCTTCATGGGAAGTGAAGATTTTGCATTTTACCAAGAGAAAGTTCCTGGATTATTCCTCTTTTTGGGCATAGGAAATGAAAGGACTGGATCAATCTACCCAGTTCATAGTCCTCTATTCACCATAGATGAGGATGTGCTTCCAACTGGGGCATCAATTCATGCTGCATTTGCCTATTCATACCTCCTAAATTTGACAAGAAAGCCCATTTCTTTATCTTAGAGGTTCTACTTACATGCTTTTAGTCATTAGAAATTTTGGGTAAAATAGCCATTTCACCCATGTAGTTTGATCCAATTTTTGTTCTAGTTTCTATTGTTTCAATTTGAGCTAACCCAGTACTTTAAGTTCAATTTTTATTTATTCTTTCTATCCAAAATTAGACGTTATAATTTATAATTTTTAATGAGTCAGTCATATGAGGAGAACTAAATTAAAATTAGACTTAATACAATTAACATTGTTCAAATTAAAAAAGTAAGGTGCGAAATGAAATATTAGTTAAATTACAAGAGTAAAAAATATAACTTATCTCAAAGATTTGGTTGATTCCTGTTTCTATGTCAAATTCATTCATTTGTATTTTTGCCTCTTGCATTGCCAGGGCACTCCAGTATGCCCTCCTATCAGGTAACTGAGGGGTATCAATTCCAAATCTTGGATGAAAAGTTTTTTGGCATATATAAACAGAATATGAACATGGCGACTTGTTACTAATTAAAATGTTCAATTTTAATAGAAGTGCCATGGCAGGAACATGTTAGGCAGACCAAATAACTAAAATGCTCAATTTAGTGATAGGAACATGTAAATGTGAGGAATGGAAAAGGAAACAGACCAAATATATAAATAAAAACGGAAAAAGCAGAGGTAGAATATAGTTAGGTAGTGCCATGGTTTTTAAGAAGGGTCAAGGGTCCTATGTGTCCAAAATTTATATATTTTTTTTGTATTTAATGCATTCTCAATCTATATAATAAGGGGGGAAGGTTTTTGAAAATGTATAAAATGTATGTGAGATACATTTTAATCCAATGGCTAAGATTAATCCAAGTTTATATCAATGGTTCAGATCAATGGATCTCCCGTCCAAACAACTCTTTGCTCTCTCTCCCACGTCTAAGCTAAACATATCTGCTCTACACATTCTCTCTCATCCGCCTCCTCCTCCCAACGGCATTTTCTTCACACTTTTCTTCTCTATGGCTTACTACCTCCTCCATCGTTAGCGCGATTAGATCCGATCCTCCACCCCTCTCCACATCGTCACTCTCTCCGAACTCGCTGCCATCGCCTCCCTCATCGCTTCCTTCATCTACCTCCTCGGTTTTTTCGGCATTGGTTTCGTCCAATCCTTCATCACCCGTGTTTCTCACGACTGCTTCATCCTCAAAGAAGATCGCCGCCTCCTTTCTTGCTCCTCCTCCGCCTTCATCGTTCTTCATTGCACCGTCCCCCTCCTGTGCCCAAACTGATAGATCTGCCGCATGTGAATCGTCAAATCAGTGTGATTTGGGTTTGATTGGTGTGATTAGGAGGAGGAGAGAGAGACACAGCGTCTGGGTCTGGATGCATGAGTGCTGTTTTTCAAATCTTTGATTTCCATCAGTTTCAGTTTGCATTGCACCAACAAGTACCCCCTTTTAAGCCTGATCTTGACGCTTTTCTTTCTGAAGAACCCACTCTCCTCAAAGGTAAGTCTCTCTCTCTCTCTCTCTCTCTCTCTCTCCATGGGTGCAAATGTTTTCCTAAATAATTTTGGAGACAATGTTTCTGCAAGAGAATTGCAATATCTGTTTTTCTCCAGCTCACAGCACATGCACACCATTCTGTTGTGTTTCCCCCCCTCCCCCTCCCTCAAGTGCTCCTTCTACTGTTTTGAATTTTTGAAATCCAGTAGAACCTCAGTTGTTTTCTGGTGATTCTATCCCCCTCTGTTAAATCGAAAATTAATTTATGTTCAATCAAAGAAACATGAAAATTTCAGGGTTATTTTAGTTGTTTTCAAGGTGTGATGTGAATATATTGTGGTATTGAATAAATTTGGCCCTTTTAAAGTTTTTTAAGTTGTCCTTTTCATTCTTTTTATTTGTAATAATCTAAAAAATGTAGTTTAACTTTGTTTTAGTGTGTATTGTTTGCTCTATTTTGGTTTTAGTTGGTGAAATTTGTCCTCAGCTTAAGAAGGTCTTGATGGAATTGGTTTGGGAAAAGTTTCATTTGAAGTTAGAGTTTTGAATTGGTTTCATCTAAGTACTTTTTAACTGTTGACAATGTAATGTTCAAGGTACCTTTAATTTTGAACTTTTTTTTTTAAAATAAAAAAAAGAAGCTTTATTTAAATTCTAAAATAGAAATTATTTATTTATCCAATCTTTTATTTGTTACTGACACGAAACTGAACCCTATTCTCTTCCAACAGACACTTCCTTGCTATTTTTCAACTGCAGGCCTTTGGAACTGTGTGCCAAGGTGAAGCATCACCATTGATTTTTATTGTGGTATGATATTCGACAGACACTTCCCATCTATTGGATGCTTTGCAATATGCATACCATATCTCTTACATTTTGTTAGTTTGGCTGAGATCATTCCAAACTTTAGATCCAACGGTTAAATAGATAAGTTGGACAATGTGTTGTTGCCTAGACTTTCGTTTCTGAGATAAGTCACCCTCACCAACTAGCTAATGATGAACTGTGAAGTCCATAAGCTAATATGTCAATTTACTCTCAGTTAAATAAAACTAGAAGTATTTTGTTTGTTGTTTTTCTCTCATTTGGCATTGCCATTGCCTAATAAAATGAGCAACCATCATAATGTGAGTAGAATATATAGAGCTTGGGATAACAACCATGTCAATACATTCTCTCTCTATATTTTTGTGTGTGTAGAAAAAGACATCATGCTGCATTTTGTCAAGTTACAGCTGATAACGAACATGGTTATAACATAAGCTAAATGGTAAAATTGTCAAAAATGCTATCGAGTTTCCCATATTTTAATTGTACACTGTAAATAATTATAAGCATTCTATTTGGGGGGATAAATGGTTGTTGGAGGCTACACAAGACCTGGGATTGAATCATGGAATAGTAAAATAACAGAAAGTGATTAACATTTATATGGTAATGGAAAATAATTCATGGTTATAATACTAGATTTGTTAACAATCTGACTTCAAATAATTAAATTCTTTCTCTCTCTAATTATTTATTGCAGAGCTGGAATATCTCACAGCATTCTATTTTGTTTTTTTTAAATGGATTGGTTTTCTTTTGGAAAATATATTATTTATTGCTTGATTGCTTGATTTTACTTTATCTTTTGATTTGTTTGCCTGCCAGGAAATCTTGAGATGATTTTTGGATCTCAATGCTTGAGATTAGTAAAACCGGACCTCTCTTTCTCGAAGTCGCCATTAAGACTGAGTTTCTCTATCATATTTCTTTGTAATCAAACTTATAGTTTTAGTTTAGAATTAAGTTTCACTTATTTTGTTAATTTTTTTTATATTTATTTTTATTTTAATTGATAATTTATTACTTGATTTTATTTTGTGTTTTGGTTTGTTTGCTAGGAAATCTTGAGTTGACTCTTGGATCTCAATGTTTAAGATTTGTAAAAACGGACCTCTCTTTCTCAAAGATTCCGTTGAGACTAAGTGTCTGTCAGGTTTCTATGCAATCAAACTTATAGTTTTAGTTTACTTGGAATTAACTAACTTGTATTTTGTTTTGAAATCAGACTAAGTGTCTGTCCGGTGCTTCCCTGTCGGAGCCCAACCCTTGCCGGCGACCGAACCCCAAACCCCCTATTACTCTCTTCATCTCCTCTCTTCTTCCCTCCCTTCCTCCCTCCGTCCGCCATCCCAATCGTCATCAACAGTGGCAGCCCCAAACCCGCTTCAATATTGACGAATGGAACCATTGTGCAAGGGTGTTTTTTAATTGGGAATGAGACTGATATTTGGCCTTTGATTTTTCAGGTGAGCAATGGGGACTAATTTTTCAAATTGAACCTAGGCTTTGATTCGATAATGTTTATCTATATAATGGGGACTAATCAAAGCAATAAAGACAAACAGAACCTTAAAAGAAAGAAACAACAGTATCAAAGAACCTAAAAAGCAATCAAGACAAGAACACGAGTAGAAACCAACTAATCAAAGCAATAAAGACAAACAGAACCTTAAGAGAAATTACCATAGGTTACAATCATGCCTATTCATTCCTCCAAAAAATTCTAGAGTTCCTTTCAATCCAAACATGATATATAGGGGCAACAAACAATAATGTTTCCAAATAGGCCTTCATAGTTGTTGTGTGTTATGCAACAAAGATGAGGAGAATCACTATTCATATTTGTTGTGTATTTCATGCATGGCTGATTTCACCTCATCAGGATAATTTACTTTTGTATATTATTTTGGCCTTTTTAAAAATAATAATAACAATAGAGATTGGTCCTAATTATGCTTTGCCAGATCTTTACAATTTACTCATGATTGTCCATACTGTCCTATGCATCTCTCACTCATGCTTATGTATGCCTTTAAATGTTTAGGTGTTCATGTCTTCTGTCATATTTACATGCTCTTCTACAATGCACTTGTAGACTGAATACATGCATATTTATTTCCAATCATATTGATAAGTAGCTATTATTGCAGGTTATTGGAATTGATCTTTTGTCACAATCTCTATTGCCGGCTATAGTTGAACTTGCTAAGGATAGGCATTGGAGGGTTCGACTTGCAATAATAGAGTACATACCTTTATTGGCAAGTCAGTTGGGTGTGGGATTTTTTGATGATAAGCTTGGTGCTCTCTGTATGCAGTGGTTGCAGGATAAGGTCGGTGCTATTGCTCACTCTCGACAATTTTATCTATATATCAAACTCTATACTTTTGCAACTGTCAACAACTTAAAGCAGTCAGAACAAACTTTGACATAAAAACTGCCTGTCAGTCGAAAGTGAGCTATTGGCTCAATATAATGTAATAGATTTGCTTCTCTGTTTATTTGAAGTGATTACCTTTCAAATGAGTCCATATTTTCTTTTCTTTGTTTGGTGATTATCATTGTTATGTTAGTAAAATTGAATGATAGAGATGCGATCAATCTGTTCTGCAAGTTGAACATATGAGGGCTACATTCAATATTTATTCTTTTGGTCATTTATTTATTTTTTATTCTTTCAAATTAGTTTATTACAAAGTTTATCGAATTATTATTTTTTTGATATGCATGTAGGATAGGAGTATGATAGCTATGTGTTTGTGTCAAAGCCAATTTAATTACTTATTCTAGTAAATTAAAGGATTAGTTTTTTCCATTTTACTTGAAGATGAAATATCATTTCTGATAAGCTAATTTAGTAAACTCATAACCAAACACATAACTCGAAACTCCATACTTACTTTATACTTGAAGCTGTTTAAACCTGCTTTATACTTTTAATTAGATGATTATGCATAATGGTACCTCATAAGTGAAGAAGAAGGTGATTTCACTTTCAACCCTTAATGTTTGTTTTCAACTATTCACTTCTGTATTTATTTTATTTTATTTGTGTTAAAAAAATAAAGTTATCTGAAAATGATCCTGTAGAAAATGATCCTGTACAAACATTATGGTACTTTGATTAATTGTTTTATTTCTTTTGTTTTGATTGCTATATTTCTATAAATCAATTTCTAATATCTGATTTCCCTCTTGCTGCAGTTCATGAATTTTTGACGCGGTTCATCAGTTTCTATAATGAAAGGTATTCAAATTTTTTTCATTAAAGTTTTGATAAATGTCATTTCCTTTCTCCCTCTAATCATTATTTTTCTCCCAAATTTTAGTTTGTTATTTTCTGCTATTTTCATATTGTGTTGTGTTTTTTTGCTAGTGGTCATCAATTTCTAGGTTCTCAATATAATCAAAGGTACAACTCTCTCACACAATTTTTCTTTATTACATCTATTTCATTACTTATATAATTTTGATAAAAGTTAAATTGTTTGGTTTGTTACTTTTTTAGTTATGTTTTAAACAAAGCTCCCTTTCCATTTGCATAAAAGATAGGCAAAATGGGACTAATGAGCAGTAAACCATGATTAAGAAAAAAATAGTATTACTCAAACTTTTTGCTTTTATTTGCTTTTTCCACTAGATTATTTTTCTTAATCTTTCTTTTTTTCTTATGGAGCTTAGTAAAGGGTGTTGTAGTAGTCTTTGTAGCTCATCTGTTAGTGGTTTTGGTGAATGTTAAAGTAGTGGAATGAACTTGAATGGATTAGTATGACCTATGCACTGTACACTAGATTTCTTTTCCTCCCATAAGAAAGTGTTGGCTTGGCTATTACATATTTTGGGGATTGTTGGGAGTGTGTGTTGAAAATTTAAACCAAAAAGAAAATGTGCATAATGAGGATTGAAAATTTTGAAAAAAGAAAAGAAAAAGGAAGATAAACATAGATAAATCTCTTCTTTTTTTTTTTTTTGGTGAACACACAGACTAATCTTAGGTAACAAAATGTCTTTCTTAAGACAATATACGTTGATAAATTTTGAGTTACTTTGGGTGTGTTTGGTAACGTTTACGTTTTCAGTTTATATTTATAAAAATTTTATAAACTGATTTTTGTTTATTTTTAGAAAAACATAAACTACAAACGCGTTTGGTAATTGACAAAATGTTTTAAAAAATTTGAAAATATAAAAAAGAGTGAGAAATGGCAAGTGGTGGCAAGTGGCGGCGGAAGACGGTGGTGGAAAGTGCTGACGGTGGGTGGTGGGTAGCTGGTGGTGGTGGGTGGGCCGGTGACGGTGACAGGTAGTGGGTGGTAGCAAGTGGGTGGTGGTGGTGGTGGCGGGGGGTTGTGGGTAGTGGTGGCGGGTGGTGGTGGTGATGGCGGGTGATGGTGGCAGGTGGGTGGCGGGTAGATGACGGGTGGTGGTGGTGGTGGGTGAGTGCGTGACGGTGGCAGATGGTGGGTGGTAGCGAGTAGGTGGTGGTGGTGAGTGGTTGGTAGTGGTGGCAGGTGGGTGGCTGATGGTGGGTGGTGGCAGGTAGGTGGTGGGTGGGTGGGTGACGGTGGCGGGTGATGGGTGGTAGCGAGTGGGTGGTGGGGGTGGGGGGGGGGGGGGCGGCGGGAGGGCGGGGTCGAGGGGCAGTGCCCCCGAAGCAAAATGCAAAAATGCATTCCAAGTTGCCTGTCCGCTCGAGCGGAGAATGCTGGGTTTCAGAAGTTTGT